GTGCCCGACGCAGCGCACGACCCCCCATGACACCTACGACCAACCCCGCCGCCCATGACCGCCTGCAGCACCACAACGACCCATCCTGGGTCGTGTGTGCAGCTGGGCCTTTTCGGCCGGGTGCCCTTTTGGACGACGACGCCCTTGAAGCCTCCCCGCACCGTCATTCCCCCCGGTACTCTGATTTTACTTTTATTTCCCCCTGGTGAATCCCATCCTTCATCGCGTAAATCGGCGTCGATGGCGGCTCGCTTTGGCGCTTCAAAGTCGGCGTGTGTATCTGGTTTGCCTCGTCTAGAAGTGCCGACCCAGTTGCACACACGCTCCCGGATACGCCCTCGGGCCGAGTTTCGACTTCGAGTTTCAAAACCGCGCCTACTAAAATGCCGCCGCCGGCGGTATTTTAGTTCGACCCATCTTAGTTTCGGATAACTATAATTGATTTCTACACGCGCTGCTCCGAGTCCGTCGCGGGCCCGGGCTTGCGCGCGTAGACGATGAGCCACTGGTCCGGGTAGGAGACGACGTAGCCGAGGTGCCAGCCGCCGACCTCGTACTCGACGTCGACGAAGCCGATGTCCTCGAGGTCCTCGACGACGCGGTCGAGGTCCGTGACGCGGACGTCGTGGTCGCTGTTCGTGCCGTTCGCGTCGAAGACGTTCGCGTCGTAGGGCGCGTGTCTGGCCGGGTCCAGCGGCGCCTCGTGCGGGGCGCGGTACACCATCTGGAGCGACACGAGGCCGCCGGGCCGCAGCGCCGCGAGGATGTCCTCGAGGATGCCCCGGCGCACGACGTAGACGCAGATGTGCTGCAGCGCGATCGTCGACATGACGAAGTCGTACTCGTCGACGGGCGCGGGGGCCCGGCCGTCGGCGGCCGCGAGCCCCGCGCCGGCCGACTGCCACGCATGGAACTTGGACCGGTCCCAGCCGTCGCGGCCGACGAAGGCGAGCGCGCCCTCGACGTGCCGCGCCACCAAATCGCAGCCGTCGACGCGGTCCCAGGCCGCGAGGCGCAGCAGGTTCGCCACGTTGCGGCCGCCGCCGCAGGCGACGTCGAGGGCGCGCTTCCCCCGCCAGACGCGCGGGTCCCGCACGACGGGCTTCAGGATCATGCCCCAGTACTCCGCGGCGTCGTTGTGGATGACGTGGTTCCCGGATACGAGCTCCTGCGCCGCGGGGTCGTAGAATTTGCGCTGCATGGCGACGTAGCGCCGGCAATTCTCCACGTGGGGCGCGCGGCAGCCGGGCATGGGCCGGTCCTCGCCCGCGGCGGCGCGGTCGACGGGCCAGGGCGGGAGCGCCGCGTCGGCGGTCGTCGGCGGCCGCGCGGCGGCGGCGGCGGCGGCGGCGGCCGCGACGTCGCGCGCGCCGTCGACGCCCCAGGCGCGGAGCGCCGTCGACACGTCGCCTTCCGTCGGCGGGGAGCCGCGGGCGTCACGCGGCACGAGGATCTCGCCCACGGCCGCGATCTTCACGATCAACCCGCGCGCATCGTCGGCGATGGTCACGCGTCTGCGCCTCAGTTCCGCGAGGAGGCCCGCCGCCGCGCAGTCCGCCGACGCGCAGCCGTCGAAGCCGAGCGACGGCCAGTCGACGTCGAGTTCCCTGAAGTCCGCGAGCAGCGACGGCAGCGCGCGCTGGTCGTCGAAGACGACGGCTTCGTCGACGTCGTACTTTGTCTCGGCGATGCGGACGATCGGCGCGCCCGGGGGCAGCGCGAGCGCGAGCGCCGCGACGGCGCCGAGCGCGCGCATAATATCAGGAGCAGAATCTGATGTTGGCTTTTCGATCAAAATTTAATACAGTTTGGACGCTTGTTAAACCTAGGTAGGAAATAAATAGGAAATAAATCTGGAATCAGTTTATAATGCTGGAAGCAACATGCCTATAAGCAAGATGGAACCAATACCTAATATATACCGTCCGGAATGACATGCTGGAACCAATGGAAAAAGTATTAATTTAATTTAATATCGGCTCTGGCGTGATTTTCCCATGATATAAGATTTTTTATGATTTTCTCCGATGACGTTGGCTCAGAATGATTTAGCAACAATTTGAATTTTGATTTAATGACTCGAAGGCGACTTTGTTCGAAGACGACTTTGATGGCGCAGAGAGGACAAAAGCGGGCTGCGGACGACGACGGCGAGGCTGCCTTCCTAGCCGACCTCGATGGCCTCTTCGAGCCCGACGAGCCCACGGCGCTCGTCGAGGCCAAGAAGCAGAAGGGGCGCCCCTTGGGGAGCGTCTCCGGGCCGACCTCCCGCCCCACGCACTTCCTCAAGGCCTGCGTGGACGCCAAGGCCGGCAAGGCGTGGCTCATGGAGCTGCCCTACAAGTACCGGCAGATTGGGAACAACAAGACGCGCGCCGTGCTCCGTTGCACGGCGCACCAGACCTCTGAGGGTGGACCGCGCGTCGCTCCGCGTCCAGCGCGCGCGCGCGCCGCGCGCATGACCCCCAACCCCCCAGGTGCTCGCATGAGATCCATAAGGTCTACAACGGCGGCGCGCCGACGTTCTGGGCCTTCGACGAGGGCCCCAAGTCCCGGCACGCGATCGACGCGTTGCCGCTGCGCGGCGCCGACGAACCGGGCATCGCGCACGTGTATCTGCGCCCCATCGAGCTGAGGATCGAGGCGGGGCAGAAGGCGTCCAAGATCCACGGCGACCTCATCGTCGAGGCGGGCCAGGACGCGGCCCGGAAGGCGGCCCTGCCTGACCTCGCGCAGGTGCAGTCGTACGTCAAGAACTACAAGCTCCGCCACGCGCCGCGCTGGAAGCTCGAGAACGTCGCGGACCTGCAGCTCTACTACGGCACGTCCAAGGTCCACGACAAGGCCGGCTTCGACGCGCTCGTCGCGTCGAAGGGCACCGACGCCTTCGTGCTCATCGACATGATCACGCTCACGGACGGCGAGGGCGGCGTGTACGAGGCCTGCCTCTTCTCGTCGTCGACCATGCTCAACATCGGCAAGAAGGCGGCCGCGGTCTACGGCGAGGACAACATCCTCTGCGTCACCGACGGCAAGCACAAGACTGAGGTGCGTAACGCGCGATCCTCGCTCCCGCCTCCTGCGCGCGCCCCAGCCTTTGACCGTGTAGGCCGCCGGCTGGATCATCATCCCGTTCGGCACGTCGACGCGCTACTTCGACAGGGACAAGGGCAAGTACTCCAACAAGTTCCTCCCCATCGCGTACATCTTCACCAAGTCCGAGACCAAGGACGTCTTCACGTTCGCCCACGCGGGCACCGTCAAGGCGCTCTCCGTCTTCATGGGCGTCAAGGTCACGTTCAGCGCGCTCTGCGCGGACGCCTCTCCGGCGATCCGCTCCGGCTTTTTGGGCTTCGAGCCCCCCCTCGACCCGGGCATCGCGGGGGTCGCGGACGTCGCGGACAAGGGCGTCGACGACCTCGACGACGACGGCATCACGACGGCGCGCGGCGAGGACGAGAACGTCGCGCCGCAGTCGCCCAACGTGCGGGACCGCTCGTCGCACGTCCTCAAGGGCCCCCCGCCGCGTCCAAGGAAGGTCCGCGGCGACGACGACGACGAGGAGCAGGAGTCGGAGGACGAGTGCCCCGTCGACGAGGAGGCCGCGCGCGAGATCGGCGAGGCGCTGGTCAAGCGGGCGAGATACACGATCACGATCCCCCAGGAGCGGATGCGCGCGGGCGTCGCGGAGCGCTGGCGCGACGTCGACGTCAAAGACCCCGTGACGCGCCGATGGTTGAACCGCCTCTACAACGCGGCCATCGACGAGTCGGTCAAGGAGGGCACGCCGGTCTGGTTGGACGGCCTGGAGGACGCCGCGCTCGAGGCCGCGCGCGTCCAGTACATCCAGGAGGACGTGGACTGGCGTCACTACGACAAGTTCGAGGAGCTCTTCGAGGGTTTCCTGAGCGAGTTCAACCTCGAGCGCACCAAGGAGCGGCGTGCATGGGTGAAGGGCATCGCGTGCGCCCACCTCAAGCGCGGCCAGGAGGCCGAGAAGGGCGACGGGGTCGTCGCGGACAAGCGCGATGCCGCGGGGTCGCCGCGCGGCGAGCCCCAGGTCGCCGTGCGCCACGTCTGTACGAGCTCTACGAGAATCACATGGCCAAGGCGACGGCGGCGAACGAGATGGCCATGGCCGGCATGTCTTTGTGATTTTTTGTGTTTTACCGCGCGTTCCTCCGAGTCCGCGCGGCGCGCGGCGCGCGCGCCGATTTCGAGGAAAATCAAAATCACTCCTCCGACCGAGTGAAAATTAGAAGCACCCCTCCCTCCCCTGAAAATTAAAATTCACCCCTACTTAAATTAAATTAACTCCTGCTCCAGTTTAGACCACCTATCATCATCCAGCTAAATAAAACTGCTGGTTGTGGTGGTCCTCTCCCAGCTCGCCGCTTCCCCGGGGTACGGGGTGGCGCGGCTTATATTTTTTTGGCCCGCCCACCACCCTCCTTCGGCACAGATGAAGCAACCGCCCTGCCCGACCCTCCTCAGCGGGGATGGCTGCGCCATCCAAGCGCGGTCCGTCGGCCTTCATCCTGGCATATTTAATTGAAACTGAGCTCAACCTCCCCTCGAGGGAGGATCTTACTTGCTTCCTTTAGCTCAGGCTAGTGGGAGATACGAAAGGCCAAGTGGACGGAAATTGCATTTACGGCAGTACAATATGTTTCCGGTAACGAGTTAGTGAGTTTAGACCACCTATCATCATCCAGCTACTCTCCTTACGCATAAACCGCGGAGAATTAAAGTACAAGGGAGGAGAGGAGGAGCCTAACTAGGGATACTCTCAGGATCGGGATCCTCTAACTAGGAAAACTCTCTAGGTCTTCTAACGGATAGTTCAAAGATACCGCTTTATATCAGACTAATGATACCCTTTTATATAAGCATGATACTTCCCCGTATCCGCGCTTCGTGCAATTTGGACCAAGAAAACATCAACTTTAGGATCAACATAGCGGAGCTGAAGAACAAAACCACAGGAGCCGCCGAGCCACCATCCCCGAGGGACCCCTCGCATCTGGGAGGACACCGAAGCTCGCGGGCGGGTGCGCCCGGGAAGTCGTCCTGTGGTCCTACTACGAAACCATGGGTTTCGAGGAGGTTGTAATTTGGACCACCCCAGCGGGATCGGCCTCCGCGGGCCCGCACTCGTCGGTAGCTGCGGCCTGGCGGGCATCGCAGAGTCATGGGTCATCGGCGCCGTCCGCGAGCTCGCCGTCGGAGCCGTCGCTAGCAGCGTCGGCCGAATCCTCAGCCGGTTGGCGGCGCCGCACTCCCCGTCGAAGTCGTGGAGCTTCGACGTGGCATTGTAGGCCCCGCGGGGCTCGATGACGAGCTTGGCGCCGCGCCGCGCGGCCCCGAGCGCGGCCGCCGGACCGTCCGTGATCGACTTCTGCTTCTTCTTCATGGGGCTCTTTGTCGGACTCTTTGGAGCGGGCGCAAGCGCGCGCGCGCGCGCTGCGCGTCTAGCAGCGCCCCGGCGCGGCGCCCGTCCCCCCGTCGTCGTCCCGCGGCGCGTCGTCCCCATCGACCCGCGGCGCCCCAACGCCGCGGCGCGTCGCCTCCGCATGCTCACCGCCAAGGCCGCGGCGCTGCCACCCGATGGGCAGCCCGAAATCGGTCCCTCCGAGACCAAATCCGACAGGGACTTCGAGCGCCGCGTCCCCAGGGAGTGCCCGGGGGCGCGCGACTGCGAACCCGCGCCGAAGGCGACCAAGAACCGGCCGCGAGACAGCCCTCAGAGGCGGACCATCGTGTGGCTCTCCCCATGGTCCAAATTACAAAGTGGTCCAAATTGCACGAAGCGCGGATATCACCAATGATACTTTTCAGTATCACCATATCAAGAATGATACAAGATATAGAATGGTAAAAAAGATATGGAATGATACATATCATTCGGACCATCCCGATCTGTATGCGCATCTGTGCATCCCGGATCTTAACCTTGTATAAGGCCACCAGTTGCGGGTCAAACTCCCCCATCAGGGGAGGGCTCGTAACACTCCCCTGCAGCCATCCAGTGAAGCGCCGCTGCGCATACTCGAAATGGCTAACAAAGAAAGCGTTGATCTCATCGACCGACAGGCCTTCCCGTATCAGCGTATTAAATTGAGCTGCTAACTTGCGCATACCGCCCTGGTCCCATGGTGAAATCTGTGACCACCACTTGTCGAGTATTTCCTGCAGAAATGTCGCTATGACCCATGCGTGGTCCTTAAGGCCCATGACTGCTCGCTTATCCTTAGCTGCTACGTGGTGGCCCAAGACACTGACCTCGCACCACTTATGGGCGCTACTTTCCTGGCTAATCGAAGATTACCTGTACAAATACAAACTAAAGCCAAAAGTTAAATGTGGCGTAATGATCATTAGTCCGGTTTGATAGCCTAAAACATGAGAGTTAAATGTACTAAACCATCAAATCTGGCGGCTAGCGTAAAAACTCTCTGTCTCCCAGTGTGCAAATCAGCCCGATTTAAGGAGTCAGTCGGCAGGAGCATTTAGGCGGCGGCTGACAGCGTTGGTGCCGTGCTCGGCGCCCCGCTCGGTCTGTGGACCATGTCGCCTCTCGGGCCCCGCAGCGAATCGCTCCGGAAAGGCCATAGGTCGAAGGCGACCAACTTTGTTCGCGTCGGGGCAGCCCGTGGATGACGAGAACGGCCGTAAACGGCGAGCGACGACCGATGGGGGGCCAACTTCGCGCTGGGGTTCGAGCTGGCGGCGCGAGTGCGAGGCCACACCCCTTCGATTGACCTTCTCGAGCGGCTCGCGAAGGACCGCGCTGCCAGCCTGAAACATACATTGCGCGGTGAGCACCGTGTCGCCCGCGGCGCCGCGCGCCTCCCGGAGGCGGTGAGGTGATCTCGATCAAATCGGCTCGAGTCGAAGAGCTGCCGCGAGGGCATCTGGTCGCCCCCATGACGAACGATCCCCGACGCTCTGTGGCTCGAAGGCGACCGAAATTCGGTCGGGGGGCAGCCGCCGCGCACCCTTCCACCCCCCGACGCTGCCCGTTTGCGTCGCCTCGCAATCGTCTGGATGCCGCGTCTTCGCAGGTGCCTCGTGCACATGTTTGCGGACCTCAAAGCCACTGGGATCGTTGCACGTCGCTGCATATTCGCGGAGCGCGGGGTGCTCTAAGATGGACATTCCATCGGCTTCCGCCAAAACTGGCACGAGCGTTGCCCTGCTGACAGGCCGCAGGGCGACATTGAAGCGGCGTAAATGGATGAAGATTTAACTCTGCGGGTTTTGCCGGCGGCTGGCTCGCTATCCGGTTTGGGGGCAGCCGCCAGGGGCCTTGAGGGAAAGTGGCTGAGCATCGCCGTCATTCTCATCCCCGTCGGCCGCGTTTGCTTGCAGCAGCCTGCAGAAGGGAAGAGCGGGAAAGCAGCAGAAACCACCATCCTCCCGGAGCGAAAAGCAGAAACAAAAGCAGCAGACAGGAAAGCAGCAAAATCCTTGAGTGTGATCATCGTCGTCCTCGATCATCCTCCTCAGCTTCCTGAGCACAGCCACCATCTTCCTCCCTTGAGTGTGATCATCATCCTCAGCCTGCTGAGGAAGCATACTCGGGGTAGCTCGTGTTCTTCATTTTACGCTCTCGCTCACGACAAACCATCCGCGCCGCCATTCCTGCGCAGCTACAGACGAACCGCGAGCTCCGACATCGCGTCGATCGATCTGCATGCCTCTGAAGTAAAGAAATAAATAAATCAAACTAAATCGTAATCGTATGTGCTCGCCAGGATAGAAAGCCGGCTTTTCGTCCTACGGAACTTCGGGGAGGCGTCGGCGTCCGGGCGTCAACGTAAGGTAGCGCTGCGCCGCGCGTCGAGCACCGCGGCCGCGCGCCGCGGAGCGCGCGAGACTGCTGGACGCGGACCGTTCCGACGCTCGGGCGGCGACGGCGCGCGCGGGCCCTGCCCGTCCGCGACACTTCTCTGAAATTAGAAAAGAAAATTCCCCTACAGCCAAGAAGGAAGAAGCATGCCCCGACCCCGGCCAATGTCATGATATTGTGGCTAATGGAAGATTCCACACTGTACCCCGAGACAGGCGAAGGTGCTCTCGCTGCCAGCATCTGCATTTGCGTCATCGGCATCACCGATACAAACTATGAAGGTATCGTCAGAGACCAGTGTTCTCTTGCCGTCTAACGAAGGTGGGGTGAGCTCATCACCTGAGTACTCGTCTTGTGATTGACTATATTGAAAGTGAATTTCGTCTTCACGTCGGATGGACATCACGTCTGGTGTATCGGCCTCGAGATTTGTTCCGGGGATCGCGACATCAAAACTAATGGATGTGCGCTGCGGACCCGGCGCTTTTCGCGCTGTGAGCTTGGCGATAGCAGCTTCTTGATTCTGACGCGCAACCTGTTCAAGAAATGCGCAATCGCGATTTTGGCCTTGAATGAACGTGAGGATAAGAGGCCTAGGGGCCGTCGAGATGTAGTCATCCAGCTGGGTGAAAAATGATAGGGATGGTCTGAGTGGGAACGTTTTGCCATTTATTGCAATGAGTTCATCAGTGGGCTTCGGGTCTGGGAACGTTTCGCACAACTTGGGAAAGGTTTCTTTAACCCCAGCAAAAAGACGGCCGTCGCTTCCGTATCGACTAACGAAAAGTTCAAGGCCAATGTCCCTTCGATAGAAACGCTTGTTGAACATGATGCCCAACTGGAACATAATTCGTGTCTGGTCCCGCAGCAAAGCCTCAACCGCACAGTAATAGTGCTCGACCGAGCTCTTTTGCTTTTTCATGATCTTTGGAGTCAATCTTGATTTTAACGATTGTGCCTTCATCTCAAGACATTCATTATCCAAAGCCTGATATAGCGGGTCTGTCCCATACACATCATGCTGAAGAGACAAGCAAACAAATTCCTTACGCGACATTATGTCGGAACCAGTCAAAGATGCCCCAAACGGCAATCTTTATTCGCTAAGGACGCGTTAGTCTATCGTCTCTAGAGGGCGGCTTAGACGATGGTGGGCGTTTAGCGTGGAATCGCTGCCCGAGGACCTCCGGTGGGCTTCGTGACCCACCCGCTGTGCTAGCTCGGCCCGCCCGGGGCGTTCGGGGCCCCGCGGGCTGCGGAAGGGCGCCCCGTGCCGGGCGTGACGCCATGCCACAAGGCGCTTCTCGCGCGGCCGCTGCTTGCGATGATGTCGGGCCGGATGAGCTGCGCGCGATGGAGGGTGAGTTGCACAGGTTCTTGCACAAGCTTACCGACGGTAACGCGGCGCATGCGGTGAACATAATGACCACCGCGTTGCGTTACATTCCTCAAAGTAATTTCGAGGTGCGGCCGACTCCATTCGGTTCTTACGGTGGCTCCCTTGACTTTGTTGGTGCTCCCTATGGTCTGGAGCCTGGTGCACTTCGTGCTGCTTCTGATGAGATTGTGCGCAACTGGGATAATGTGGAGATTCGCACAAAACAATTTTGGCATGGCTTCGAGTACGGTGTGCTACAAGACGAGGATGCGGATGCGTTTCCTGCTCACGTCAGGAGAATGCCCAGACAAGTTGCCTTTAATCTTAGCTCAGGGCGAGCGCGGGAATCGAAATTGTTTCCATGTCTGCGGCAAATACTGCACACAATTCTAGAACGTGTCCGTGTGCTCGGGTTTCATTTGACGCTCATAGACTTGCACGTGCTCCGGCAGTCTTCAGAACACGCATGTTTTGAGGAGCATCTCGATTTACACAATGCCAATGATGTCGCCATAATCTGTGTTCTTTCTAGAAGTGATACTCACGATGAAAGTGAAGGTGCCGAAGAGTATGCTCAGGAAAAAAGTGGAGTTCACATCCGGACGTTACCTTTGTCTCAAACATGTCCCAAAGTACGTTTTCATGGTTGTGTGTTGTGATGGAACTTTTGTAGGTGTGGCTGCCTTTAAAGCAGCCGGGCGACGGTGTCTTGATTCGCGGGAACAAGCACTACCTATAACGTGTCCTCCCCCGAACGGAGTTGAGATTTTGAAGCTAGTTCTATTTTGCTCGGAGGACTAGGATGCATGCGCTAAAAATGTAAGTAGGTTGGGGGATAGGCGAGCGAGGTCGGTTGGGAACGTGACTAGTGGAGTTTCAGGTGCCAGCTCAAGCGTAGTTTCGTAGTGCTTCAATTGCGGTCTTTACGTTTCTTTGCTGCTATTTTTTCGCGTGTGTGTTGTGTCTTCCTGATTTGCTCCTTGTTTTTCTGTGCTTGCGTGGTAGCTCTGTGGCCTAGCACTTGCGCGTACCGCGGAGTGCCACAACAGTGCTGATAATCACACTCGAGCGGGGCTACTGGCTCGCCGGATAGTATGGTGCCCTGATTTTCGCGATTT